CCGTTTTAAATCGCTCCCATATAAGCGCTCCCGTTTTGTTCCTCGAAGCGCTCTTTTTGGGAGCGCTACGAGGAATACCTCGATAAACGGAGTTCATAACTCAAATTTTATCAGAATATCAACCAGGAAACCACTTAGCATGAAAAATGTTTAAAATTACAAGTTCCTTTGATTTTCTTAAATTTGTTGTTAGGAAAAAAATTCTAGGAAACCATCTTTCTTTTAGTAAGTTAAAAAGATATGACGCGTTCTATAATGTTCCTAAAGTGCTTTTTTTAAGAGAGGAAAATCTACGAATTACTGCTCCTGTCTGGGTGAGGCTGGAGGGAGTGGCAGACTCTTACTGAATAAAAATCACCCCGTTCCTTCTCCTGCACGTCGAGCCGAAGCCCCGGTAACCTGCTAGGATCTCTGCGACTCCGTATCGGCATCAGCCCTATTGGACCCCATCCGTGGTGGTCTGATGGCTTTCATAAAGTGTTATAAGTACATAAGGGCTGGTTTCACTACCTCCATTTAATTACCTGATAAACTTATGTGACAGATAATTCATACAAATTACATTCTTAATTCAAATTTATATGGTAGATAAAACATGCCCTAAGTGTAATAAATGAATATCAAAAGTACTCTATGTTCACTACCACTCTAACAAATACATATAACATAACATCACGCCTTTTATCCCCGAAGGGGTAGCTAGAGGTGCACATTATGCCACGGTACAATGTAACACCCACTTTTCACTATTTATTTTATGAGTCCCATGTAATAGGTGGTGAACCTATTGCCATATACCGGGCACAATGCCAGACTCCGTGCTACTACTGAGAATTTTTTTAAAACCCAGTAGTACTTTTCCCAATCCGGGAATCGAACCCGAGACCCCTTGTCCGGTAGTCGCACTTGCGTCCACTCGGTCAACAAGGCGTCCAATACAAATAAAGACTCACAATTTATATTCAATTCAACATAATTACTAATTAACTACCAATTGACTGAGCTAGGACAAGTAAGACTCTGACCCCAAGTTAAACAAGTTTCTCTCAATCGACCTGAACAATTATAGTTCTACACGCATGTTTCATTAAGTACTGAAATGTTCATTGAAATGATAAAAGTTACCTCAAGTCTCTTGTGGATAAGGCCAATAGAATAGATAAAGTTAGGTACACATGGAATGGTACCCACGTGTACAGTCTCCAATGATTTCGATGTAATAGAGTTTTTAAATTTGGCTGCTATCAAGGGAGGATTGGGTAGAAGTTTACAAGTTGTTGTATTGAAATTAACTCGTCGAGTACCGGTTTTATAGACACAATTAAAGAACAATAGGTCGCGGTCACCGGTGACCGCTTGGTGTTTGACAGTTTAAAATTTGATTTATCGTTATTATTTATAAAATTGAAGAGCCAGCTGTTTCTTTTTTGTCACATAACATAACATCACGCCTTTTAACCCCGAACGGGTAGGCAGAGGTGTACATTATGCCGCTGTACCTACAATGTAACACCCACATTTCATTATTTAAGTTATGAGTCCCATGTAATAGGGGGAGAGCCTATTGCCATATACCGGGCACAATTCCAGACTCCGTGCTTCTACTGAGAATTTTATTTTAAAAAACCCAGTATTACTTTGCCTGACAGTCGCACTTGCTTTCTTTTAAAATCCAGAAGTACTTTGCCCGACCCAGGAACGAACTCGAGACCCCTTGTTCGGCAGTCGCAGTTGCGACCACTCGGCCAACAAGGCAGTCCGTCAGCCTCTTATTTGTCAGGAAGATATAAAAACTATAATATTTATTAAAAAATGCGCTAAATCTCAATATCAATCAAGTAATGGGGATGATGACAGGGTATGAAAATTAAAAATATAATTAGTCCGTAAGTTAGCTAATGAAAAAATATTAGACACGTATTTTTTTATTTTGTCGTATAATAAAACAATACTTACATAAAACGAATCAAAGTTTAGGAGTGGGGGCTAAAACGTCATTTCTTAGTATAAAATGTACTGAGAAGTGACGTCACGCGACATTTCAAATCAATATATCTTCGAAACTATTCGTTTCTGTGAGAAAATAAAAAATACGTGTCTAATGTTTTTAAATAATCTATCAGACGGACATTAAAATAAAAATTAGTCGTCTACCCTAACCGAACAAATTAAAAAGGCATCACTAGTGACGTAACGGCCCTTACACGCAAGCAAAGTTTTATCATAGACGCATAATAGTTGCAAGGTCGAATAGAAATAATAGACAGGTTCTTTGCGAAACGTTGCCGTCTTCGTATAAATAAATTAAATTGCTCAAGTTTAAACGGGCGTTTGAATGGTGTAATGGACGACCAAATGTATGCGGTTAACAACGAAATTGAGACGCCAGCAATAGTTTGGTTTAGCACTAAAATAAACGCAATATAATGTGCGTTGAATTAAAATTTTAGGCGAATTTTACCAAAAGGTCATTTACAGACCAATATTCAATATTCACATTCAACGGTAATAAGAATGAGTTATGATAATTTGTATGATGAGAATGAATTATGACCTTGAATGTCAAAGGTACTAAGAATGAGTAATGATAATTTCGTACTACAGTGTAGGTATGTATGTACATGTTTTTTTATGGCATATGCCGTAAACGAGCAGACGGATTACCTAATGGTAAACAATCGGCGTCGCCCATGGACGCCTATAACACCAGAAGCATTACAAGTGCGTTACCGGTCTTTTGGGGATTAAGAGTTTGAGGATTGATGGGGATTCGGGGATTGGGGAGATTGGGGAAGGGGGGAGGGAGCTGAGCCTCCGGTAAACTCACTCACACGACGAAACACAACGCAAGCGTTGCTTCACGTCGGTTTTCTGTGAGGGTGTGGTATCACTCCGGTAGAGCCGACCCTTTCGTGCTGAAGCATGGCTCTCCCACACTTAATAGTTAAATATAATGTTAGTAAACAAAATTCTACCTCCAAGGAGGATAAACCTGGGGATGAACTTCGTTTAGGACAAACGTGATTCTGGTCGATTTAAAATTTTGCATGAATATTATTTAATAGAATTTATGGATGATCCATTTTTTATTAAAGTTGATAATGTAATGAGGTCAAATCACTTCATTATGTGTACTTGGTCTTATGACTATGAAATATGGTATATGGACACATTAGTGAGTAAGTGGCATAATTGGGTGCCATGACAGGTAGGTAGGTACCTACTGCTTACGATTTCATGATGGCTCATTTTATACATTACTTTTTACCCGACTGCCTCGTTGCCCGAGTGGTCGCAAGTGCGACTGCCGGGGAAGGTGTCTTGGGTTCGGTTCCCGGGTCGGGCAAAGTATAACTGTGTTTTTTTTTTTAAATCTCGGTAGTAGCACGGAGTCTGGAAATGTACCCGGTATATAGCAATAGCCTCACCCCCTATTACATGGGACTCATAACATAAATACTTAGTGAAAAGTGGGTGTTACTTCTGCCTTCTCCTTCGGGGATAAAAAGGCGTGATGTTATGTTATGATATGTTTTTACCCGACTGTTGGAAGGGTATGTTACTTTATTTATTATCTTTTACATTAGTTTCGCTCGATAATTTATGCAATTATTTTATTTGATAAAATTTTATTTTAAGTGCTATGCCACCTTTATGCCAGTAATTTCTAGAAACTTGCCATTTGAGTCAACATATCAAAAACCTTTAGTTTCTGCCCATGACTTCGTCTGCGTATAAAAGCTACAGATTTTTTGTCTTGTCAAAATAACAGAGTGCCAAGCACAGTCATTAGTTGGTTTTCTGGAGCCGGCCAATCAGAACGCCGAATAGAATAATAGTCGCCGAATGCGATAGTTATTCGTGCTTGACACTCAGGTCATGATTTCGTCCACGTCTCTGGTGTTTCAGGTGTTCTTAAGCAACATAGCGGTTACACTAATTTACCATCAGGGACCCAAAAGATTTGTTGACATGGACACTAATACCGACTGTACAGCGGGATAATAGCCTTACGCCACAATCCTACTGCACAGGATTACCTAATCCTAATGACTACAAGCTAACGTTATCCTACACTATCCTAGCTAATCTAACACCTATAATAACCTATCCTATAACCCTAATTAACCCCCTAAGCCTAATTACCTATGTAGTCTAAATCCTATCCTATAATTGCCTAGCGTATAATGCGTATAGGCTTGGTGCTCTGGGGTGTACTGGGATACAGACCAGCACTTCTACGCACCTACTACTAGGCACTTAACCTAAGGCACGTACTATCGTGGTACACTGTGGTATGCTGTGATATAGACCTACGCTTCGTACGCGCCTAATGCCCTAGCCCTACAGTCCCTAGACCCTAGCCCTACCATACGTATTTATATATACTTATATAGATAGGTGCTGGATATCTGCCACCTGAGACCTATGATGGCAGACGGAATGTGGGTAGGAATGGGGTATGGTGGTGAGGGTTTGCTCACTGCCTGTCGAGCAGACTCACACGACAGATGGGTCGATGGCTAAAGGTGTCTTGGCCACAGTGAGAGGATGAGCTTCCTCCACTGAATGGTGGAGGAAGGGTAGTGAGTCAAAGTCGGAATCAACTAGCGACTGTTTTATTTCTTATTCTACATGATCTTATATACTAAACTTATCCTATGTACACACATACCACACTATGATTGTGTGCTATGCGTGTAATGTACCATCTCAGCGCTCTATCCTTACGTGAGTACGTGATGTTTTCCTTAGTTGTATTCCGGAATTAATATGTTTCTTTTCAGTACTTTATCACGTAGGGTTATCTCACTGACATTGGCATGTTCATGTTTGAATACCGACAGTACCTGGTATAAAAGTAATTTAAACCTTCAGTTGTTCAAACATGATTAGGTAATGTTTAAACAAATGATAGTTTACATTTTAAGCGCTTCAGTTCATATAAATAGAAATATCTGAACATACATTTTTGTAATCAGTTTTAAACTATCATCAAGATGTATCGATTGTGTTTCCTTATTTTTTTAATTAACGTAAATTATTTCATTGCCTCTCCTGTGCAATCAGATTTAGCTTCAAGTTTTTTGGAGCATAACATTGTTCCCGATGTTTTATCTGTGGTACCCGAAGAATATTTGGCTGTAAGTTTGGTTTTTCAAAAAATATTCCCGCGTTTTACAATAGTATTGAAAGTGGTATGATTTCTGAAGCCCACCAATTTGCAAAGGTCTCAAAATGCTTTAAGGCCCCAACCCTTACATTATTTTGAGTACTGATTTTTATTTTGATAAAGATTAGATTCTACCATCCGATTTCATATTTATATTGTGTAAGTATTTTTTATTGATTATCATAGCATTTACTTATTTTTCTTAATAGGGTAGATGCCTAATTTTTATTTTAATGTCCGTCTGGTAGTTTATTTTAAAACATTACACATGTATTTTTTATTTTTTTACAGAAACGAATACTTTCGACGATATATTGATTTGAAATGTCGCGTGACGTCACTTCTATGTACATACATTTTTTACGTAGAAATGACGTTTTAGCCCCCACTCCGAAACTTTGATTCGTTATATCTAAGTATCATTTTATTATGCAACAAAATAAAAAATACGTTTCTAATATTTTTAATTACCAAACTTACGGACTAATTCGATTTTTAATTTTCATACCCTGTCATCATCCCAATTCTAGGTAAAATTCCCGAGTGGTGCAGAAGCGCATAATGGCAACATATTGACTCCTACCCTGGTGAAGGACCTTCCTTCACTCTCGTGGAATGCGGAACCTGACCTCTTTTATACTGTTGCGAACGTTGGTTAGTAGGTACTTTACAAAAGATATATTACAACACTTATAGGTTTAGAGTATCAGGTTTATTAGACAGCGCTGATGCACTTACTTCGTCTACAGTTTTGTGGTGCTGGTAACAAAATTTTTTTTTATGGAATAAGCTGGTAAACGAGCAGACGGATCACCTGATGGTAAGCCATCGGCGTTGCCCATGGACACCCGGGTGAGGGGGTGATTGGGCCTACAATAACCTCACTCACACGACGAAACACAACACAAGCGTTGCTTCACGTCGGTTTTCTGTAAGGCCGTAGTATCACTCCGGTCGAGCCGGCCCATTCGTGCCGAAGCATGGCTCTCCTATGCTTAATTTTTTTTATAGTTTTTCTAGAACCTCTTCTTGAACTTAAATCCAATTAAAGTCAAAAATCCTTATTGTTCAAGTAGTCGTAGTTCGCTAGTGCCAAACTTTAATTCAGCAGACATTTAGGTTTAATTCTTTATTCTAGATCCTGATGTGCCCTCTCATGATGACCCAACAAAAGGACAGGTTGTCCATTGGTTGGCGGGCAACGTGCCAGGTGACGACATCTTAGCAGGAGATCAGCTCATGGAGTACTTTGGAGCTGGACCAGCACAGGACACTGGACTGCATCGTTATGTGCTCGTAGTTTACGAACAACCAGCTAAACTGGAATTTGATGAGCCTAGGATGTCAAATTTGTAAGTCAGAACTGTTCTTCCCCTTTATGCCTCTAATGCCCGAATACTGAAACGTTACTCAATTTTAAAGTCACGCTTAAGTATAGTTCTGTCACCACTAAATCTTTGTGAAATGACAGAGATGGCACGATATTTAAGCATGACTTAAAATTTAGTAACGTTTCAGTATTCCGGCATATCTGCTATGTTGCATTGGTTGCTCCCACAAAAAATGGTATCATGAACTTCATATTAACAGCTTCAGCATTTTCCCCCCTTAAAAAAAGGGCATCGTCAATTCTGATTATGCTGATGGAAACTAAAACAAATAAGTGTAAAAGTGTCAAAGAAATGAGTATTTTACTTTGAGCGCCTTTACATTTATCTGTAGCTACTGCTAAAATGACTTTGGTACTCAATTTCTAATACGGACTCTAATTACTTAAACAGGAATATTCCTAAAGAAAGTATACGTCTATTTGTCTATTAGCCCTACATTTTAAGCCTTTTTGTTTTATTTTGATTTGACTGGCTAATTTCCTGAGTGGAATATAAAAAAATATGACAGTTTTTGGATTTCTATTTCCAATAGCAGCAACTTCTAATATTAACCAATATTGTTATCATTACAGAACAGCCTCGTTGGCCGAGTTGTCGCAAGTGCGACTGTCGGGCAAGGGGTCTCGGGTTCAATTCCCGGGTCGGGCAAAGTAACACTGGGTTTTTTTAAATAAAATTCTCAATAATAGCACGGAGTCTGAAATTGTGCCCGGTATATGGCAATAGGCTCACCCCCTATTACATGGGACTCATAATATAAATAGTAAAAAGTGGGTGTTACATTGTACAGTGGCATTAAGTGCCGTGTAGTGTACCTTTGCCTACTCCTTCGGGGATAAACGGCGTGATTTTATGTTACAGGACAGCCGAAAATCGCTATTACTTCTCAATTGGCGATTTTGCTAAGAAGTACAACTTGGGGGATCCCATCGCTGGTAATTTCTACCTGGCTGAATACGACGACTACGTGCCAATTTTGTACAAGATACTCGGCATTTAAATAAAGAACATTCGAATAGCGACGTTTTTTTTAATAAACTGTTGTTTTGAGAACTAATGAATTAGCTATTGTCACCAAATTTTAATATCGATTAATAAAATTACACAGTTAATAATAACTTTTCTTTTACCTACAAATCATCTAAATACAAATGCTTTATTGCGTTCCACAATGTTTCACTGAGGTGGTATCTTAGAAATAATAAAATTTTCTTTATTATTTCTAGTACGATGTTATTATAACCGGCCAATATTTATCTAAACAAATATCATAAAGAGGTTATACTTGTGATTTTGTATGATTAAATGCTTTCACACAAAAATTACCGGACTGATATCAATAACTCTTTCACTGTTACAAAACTGTATGTTGAATGAGCAATACTATACATCCTTACTATTAATATGTAAGTCATAATACAATTACATGTTACTTTGTAGGTATACTTTGCAACTGTGCCTACTCTTAACAGATTAAGGGCCTGTTTCACAATACCTGGATAGCTGCTATCTATCAGATAAATTGAAATTAAGAACGCAATTTGTATGAACTATCATTCTGTCACATAAGATAAACAGGTACTTAAATGGAGGTAGTAACACCAGCGCTTAAAGTATGTACTTATAACACTTTAAGAAAGCCATAAGACCACCACGGATAGGGTCCAATAGGGCTGATGCCGATACAGAGTTGCGGAGAACCTAACGGGTTACCGGGGCTCCAGCTCGAAGTGCAGGAGTAGGAACGGGGTGTTTTTAGTCAGTAAAGGCCTGACACTCCCTCCCCGTCTCAACCAGCGGTGAAATCAGCGCTAAGAGTGGTGATGTTATAAATTTTTGGATAAAAAATAATCGGTTCGTAACTTACTCAATTTTGCAATAATTTGTAAAGGATAGTAGAAGCCAACAAAAACTGGTTTAAAAGGAAAGTTACATCACAGGGAAATGTCGAAATGTTCATATACCTATGTGTCGGAAACCGTTAATTATATTGCATTAAAATAGTAAGTAAATTAAGGTTGCAATGGTTTTATGTTTTTAGAGGACTTTACAATGTACCTACATACGTATGTAGTTATAAAATTATTTAAAATTGAATCTTATGAATATCTGCGTAGGTATATTTTCATCTACATTTTTTTTGTTTTATAGTAAAAAATTAAATAAGACAACGCTGCTATACTCATCATGACAAATATAGGACAATAATATAGGACAAATAGGTACTCTTATTTTAGTACGTTCGTTTATCTATTATCTATTAGCAACAAAGTCAAAGTCAAAATTATTTATTTCAATTAGACCAGGAAGGCGCTTTTGAACGTCAACAATTTAGAAGTGAAGTTAGTGGTTCAAAAGTGTAGATTTATATGGAGAAGAACGAGCAAGAAACTCCATAGGTTACTCTTTTTCAATCGGGTTTGCAATACAATTCTCTAGTTACATAGTTTTGTTGGTTCGATTGTGTGAGAACAATGCAACACCTAAATGCAGTCAAAGAGATTGAAAAGAAAATAAACTTTAAACTAAACTAAAAAATATTAACATGTCCAATTCCCCGAATCCCCAAGCCCCAACGATCCTCAAACTCTTAATCCCCAAAAGGCCGGTAACGCACTTGTAACGCTTCTGGTGTTCCAGGTGCCCATTGGCGACGCCGATTGCTTACCATCAGGTGATGATACGTCTGCTCGTTTACGGCATATGCCATAAAAAAACATGTACCTTCTTTATTATATCTGTGACATATATACTCTGTAGTAACATTTAAAAAAACCCGTAGTAATTAGATCGTCTATTGTTTTGTTTGTTTTATTTAATATTTTGTCTTTGATAAGCAAGCAGTGGCAAGGACGCAAGTGCTAGAACGATCGACGAGAGGTGTAAAAGGATGTACCTTAACGAACATTAAGGTGAATTATGTATTTTCGTAAACATACAGAATAATACAGTATAGTAAGAAGCAGTAATACACTTTTAAGCAGTTTTAAGACACCTTTATGCCCGTCGAGTGTAAAGTAAATAATGGTTAGTGAGTATTTTTGTCAAGAAATCTATTGTTTTTCTATTTTTCTCCTTGAACATATCTTATGTAGATTATTTTTGTGTATACTTACTTGTGTTAGTTAGATATAGTATAAAATCATTGTACATCTATCTATACATATAATAAATCTGTAGAAAAGTATTTTTTGTACATTGAAGAAATTGACAAAAAAAATAGCCAGCGTGTTAAAAGATAACTAACAGAACCCATTTCCATCATTTTTGAAATTTTTGTCTGTTTGTCTGTTTGTCTGTTTGTTTGTGCGCGCATCACGTAAAATCTACGAATTCAATGCAGACATTGTTTATATAAAAAAATTCTACGCAACTCGAGGTATAACTTAGTTTTTGTTTCATCGAAATCGGTTCACTCTATCAAAAGATATGATTAATTTAGTGAGTTCAAGTAAAATATTATAACACGCATTCAGATGTCATTTCGAGTACTACTCGAAATGACATCTTTGGAAAATTGGTTTCGTTGCGGTTTGGTCATTGGTTTGAAGTCCGATGTAAAGATACTACTTGATATTATAAACAAGAAGATTTTTTTTAAAGTGGGAAAATCATCGAATGACTGCTCCCGCCTGGGTGAGGCGGGTGGGAGTGTCAGACTCTTACTGACTAAAAACTACCCCGTTCCTTCTCCTGCACGTCGAGCCGGAGCCCCGGTTACCCGTTACGTTCTCCGCGACTCCGAATCGGCATCGGCCCTGTTGGGCCCCATTTGTGGTGGTCTAATGGCTCTTTGAGGTGCGCGCGGAACGCGATGTGCCGTACGCTCGGGTCTGTTTCTGGTCGGACGGGGAGCCACCCATGCTCGCCGTCCGCAGGCCCTCGCTTACAGTGGCCGGAGATCGTCCCGCGATCCCCGACGCCCGGTGTGTCCTTCGCGATGGCTGGGTTGCGAGGAAGTAGCGCTTCGCTGCCTCACGCGTCCCGCCTCCTCCTTAGCTAGCATGACTGCTTCGCAAAAGGAGGAGACGGCATCCCAGTCCCCTTCGCTCCGCATCATGGCCGGCACTAGGCCCGGACGTGAGAGGTTGCCATCGCCGATCACTTCCCTGAGGGCACGGCGGTGCTCAGCCCACGCAGGGCATTCTCCCACTGTGGGTTCCACCGTGTCCTCAGGGCGGCCCTCGCAGTGATGACACCCGGGCGTTTCCTCCCGCCCCATCCGACACAGGTACCTCCCGAAACTTATGTCCGGTGAGGACCTGCGTGAGGCGGTAGGTAAGGACGCCGTAGCGTCTCTCAAGCCACTCCTAAAAGAGGGGACTTACCGCTGCAATGGCAGCGAGCCCAGCCCTCGGTTGCGACAGTCGTGCTGCCATTCCGCCATGAGATCGCGCCGGAGCTCATCCCGCCACGCACCTATCTGGCGCGGCAGCGGAGTTTCGCCCCGGCAACGTGCCTCCGCGCGCATGCGATACACGCGCGCGAGCACTTTCGCATCCAGATCCCACGGCGGTAATCCGGCAAGGAGGTTCGCCGACTCCCCGGAGATCGTGCGGTAACCGCAGATCATTCGGATCGCCATGACCCTCTGTACCATGAGCAGCGCCCGAGCGGGACGCCGCATCAGGTTCGGCGCCCACACAGGGGCGCCGTAGAGGGCCATGGACCGCACGACCCCGGCGTATAACCTTCGGTAGGAGGCGTTTGGCCCCCCGAGGTTGGGGAGGATGCGTTTGAACGCAGCCCCCGTCCTCACAACAAGTAGAATAGACTATAGGTATTTTGAAATCTGGCCTTTACGGTCACCTTAAGTTTAAAACATCGTACGAACGACCTTTTTGTAACATATATTATGTATTTTACTTTTAACATTATCACGCAATAAACTTCTGAATGCACGTAGAAATAAAGAACAAATTTGTATCACCGAGTGTATTCGGGAAGCGTCGTGATCGTTCGGGTAAATTCATAATTCTCCGCGTGAGTGGCAAGCGCAAGGCGAGCTGCACTATGATTATGAACGACCACACTGAGTATCAGTGAGTATGACGTCAGACCCGATCAATAGGGCCGTACTGTCAGTTCTGTCACAGTCTATACAGTCGTCCAACGAAGACGTCTAGACAGGGCAATCGTGCGGGGTGTGAAGGGCGAGACGCGGGTAGGCCGATCCCGAGCTGCGAATAAAAAGATGTTAGTAGCTCGGGATATATTATTCAAGGCTAACGCGTGTTTGTTTTTACCGACTTTAAAAAAAGGAGGAGGCACTATGTTCGAATGATTTTTCCTTTTTATGTATGGTTGCCTTTGCATGAAATTTTAAATTTATCGTCATGGGTGTCGTTTTCATGGTTTTCGAGGGTAGTAAAACCAATAGTGCTGTCAAAATGTAAATCCAAGATGGCGGCTGCACGAAATTTTTAATTTATCGCCATGCGTATCGTATTCATGGTTTTCGAGGGTGGTAAAACCGATGGTGCTGTCAAAATGTAAATCCAAGATGGCTGCTGCACGAAATTTTTAATTTATCGTCATAGGCATCGTTTTCATGGTTTTCGAGGGTGGTAAAACCGATGGTGCTGTCAAAATGTAAATCAAAGATGGCGGCTGCACGAAATTTTTAATTTATCGCTATGGGTATCGTATTCATGGTTTTCGAGGGTGGTAAAACCGTCGGTGCTGTCAAAATGTAAATCCAAGATGGCGGCTGCACGAAATTTTTAGTTTATCGTCATGGGTATCGTTTTCATGGTTTTCGAGGGTGGTGAAAATGATGGTGGTGTCATAATGCCAATCCAAGATGGCCGCTGCCCGAAATTTTTAATTTATTATCATGGGTATTGTTTTCATGGTTTTTGAGGGCGGTGAAAATGATGGCGCTGTCAGAATCTAAATCCAAGATGTCGGCTGCATGAAATTTTCAATTTATCGTCATGGGTGTGTATTATCTAAACGATGTTGTTTTGTTTTCGACAACCACGCGAACGAAGTCGCGGG